AAGAATGAATGTCACCATCATTTTGGCCAATTGTGCTGCTTCTGTAATTTCGTCTGCTCTCGGTGTTAGAGACAGCAATCAGGCAGCTGCTCCACACACAGAGCAGACAGCAACAGGTGAAGATAACATATTACTCTAGACTAATAGGGGTTTCAGTCAGAAAGTTTTGAAGGACTTGGTTGCAAAGCCACATTCCGTGTATTCTGTCCTGGCAATGTTGTTCTGAACAAGGTGCTGACAGATAGCTAACAGAAATAAAGCTCCGTCACACGTTCTTCATTGTATGCAATGAATACTTTACTTGACACAACTGTAAAACTAAGAAAAACACAAAAGATACAAACTACAAACGGATTCTATTTTAAAATATTATTTACACTTTCACATTCATAAACATTCACTTACACACTGAAATGCCCAAATAAACAATTGATTTAGATTAATAACGTGCTTGCATGAAAAAGGGATTGCACAGCTCTGTTATGCTGAGCATGTTAGCCATTAGATCGCACCAGAATTCAGAATCAAACATTGAGGTTTAAACATCTCAATAAGCATCAGCTCTTATTAAACCAACACAAGAGAATATTACGCTTTTTCTTATGAAATTTATAACTTACGGCCATATCTACTCCAAGGAATAGATGTTAAACAATGACGTGCATCTGAAACATAGATCAGAGAAAACAAGTCTCTTCTTCTACTACTTTACATACGTCCAGATGCATTCTGTCATAATATTTTTTTGCCACTAAATACACAATAATTGTTATTCTTACATTTAGGTAGAACCTCAAAAAATTATGTGCATGATGCCACAGATTTTATTATTATTATTGTGAAGTGAAACAAATGAATAGCGCTTCTCTGGCTTTGTGCAGACATAAAGAAAACTTGGCAGAAAGAGACCCAGCGCATCCACACAAGAGAGAGATAGAAACTTTTGTTCTTAAATTGTGTTATGCTGTTTTGTGTTATTTTCATTTTGCACTGTTTTAATTGTGCATGGCAATGCAGTTATTTTGGCAATACAAATGTAAAAACATATCGCAATAATAAAAAGTCTGTATTGTTAATTTAATGTCAGATTGCACAGGGAATACATACACTGAACTCTGCATGCAGACCTATAATAAAACTGTCCCGAGACTCTGAGGTGCGGAAAACACCGGATCACGAGCTGATCGCCTGAACAAAGTGCGCGCTTCCTTTGAAACACGCAGCGTAAACAGACTTGAAGAAAAGATTAAGCCTAAGGATGGGTATCGTTAAGGTTTTAACGGTAATACTACTCTTACTGATACTGCTTATCAATCCGGTACTTTAACGGTATTCTTATCGGTACTTTTGGTTTTAGGTTTATATATATATATATATATATATATATATATGTTTCAAATAATTTGTTCTTT